CATAATATGTGCTGAAATTCCGGATCCTGATCTTTATCCTGAACTGTATGCAGTTGTCACAAGTTCAATGATGCATGGCCCGTGTGGTACAGTACGTCCTAATAATGTGTGCATGAAGAATGGGAAATGTAGTAAGCATTACCCCAAGGAATACTCTTCTCAAACAACTATTGATGAAACTGGGTTTGCTAAATATCGTCGGCGGAACAATGGTAGAGTTTTCAACTGTGGCGGCGTTGATCTGGATAATCGATGGGTTGTACCCTACAATCGATATTTGTTACTACGATTTGGAGCGCATATCAATATTGAATATTGTAACAAGACAAGGTATGGCTGAAGTAAATCGTATTTATCTATATGACGTTGTTGTTTCCTTTATTATATTACCAAACTCAGATTCCTAATGACAGGCTATATGTATATTTATATGCTACACTCATTATTAACTTTATGCATGCATATGAATTATGATTTAATTTCCAAAGATGAATAAAAACCAAACCAATATTTGTGCGATTTCTCTTTTTTTTAGTTATTTTATAAACCCAGTGTTATCTTATTGGTGTGACTTCTTGCCGCAACTCTGTAATTTTTGTAATATTTTTTGGTGTGTTTTCCTTCATTTTTTTTTTTGCCCCTTGGATAAGCTATTGTGATCCATTTGTTGCCTTTTGTTCTCTGTACTTTGATTTCTTATTTAATACAAGTCACATTTAAGAAAAAATGTAATACAACTTTTTCCTACTTCCCTATCTAACATCTACAACTTGGTTTTATTTGATGTTTCTATAGGGCTGTGAAATATTTGTTTAAGTACATCAACAAACCCGAGGATCGTGCAATGGTCATTGTAGCTGCACAACAAACAGCTTCGGCTATGGATGGTCGGAATCGTGGAACTACGGTTGTGCAAATCGATGAGATAAAGGCATTCATGGATGCCCGTTACATCACATCGGGAGAAGCATGTTGGAGAATTTTTAGGTTTGATATATACACTCACTCTCAAACAGTACTGCGTATGTCCTGTCATTTGCCTGGTGAGAATACAGTGTATTCAAATGTTGATTCTAACGTGGAGGAAGCGGTTGAGTCTAGCAGTTCCCAAACCTCAATGTTGTTATCATGGATGGATCTCAATCTTCAGTCAATGGATGCACGGAAATATATCTTTGCGGAGATGCCACAATATTATGTATGGAATAAAAAATACAAGAAGTGGCAGCAGCGCAAAAAAGGTACCTGCATTGCTAGATTATATTACTGCTACCCATCCGCAAAGGAGCGATACTATTTGCGAATGCTATTGCATGTTGTTAGGGGTTGTTGTTCTTATGATGATATTAGAACAGTGAATGTGGTGGTATATGAAACATTCCAAAAAGCATGTTATGCTCGGGGACTGTTATCAGGAGATTCTGAATGGAATGATTGTGCCCAAGAAGCTTCGCACTGGGCTTCTGGTTATAAACTTAGAAAACTTTTTGTCACAATTCTTATTCATTGTCAGGTGGCTGATGTGACTTCTTTTTGGTTAAATAATTGGGAATTACTAAGTGAAGGCATTTTGCATTCACGACGTAGAGAGCTGAATTTACCCCAGTTGAATTTGTCGGAGGATGAAATTAAGGAGTTGTGCCTTATTCATATTGACAAATTGATGGAGAGATTTTCGAAGTCATTAGCAGATTTCCCTGGGTTGCCTGTTCCCGATCAGTGTTTGCGTTCACATACGGTAAACAGGCTGATAGATATGGAGATGAATTATGGACCCGATGACTTAGACTGTTCTGAGGATCGACATAGTAGACCGTTGAATGGAGAACAACAAATCGCTTACGATATGGTATTACATTCTGTTTATACCAATGAGGGTAAATGCTTTTTTGTGGATGGATTTGGGGGTACTAGTAAGACATTTCTGTGGCGAGCAATTTGTGAGCAATTAAGATTTGAGAAGAGGATAGTATTATGTGTTGCTTCATCTGGTATTGCTGCACTGCTCATGGTCGGTGGAAGAACTGCACACTCAAGATTTCACATTCCCCTGGATTGTGATACAAAATCAACTTGCAATATTGAGCAAGGTTCTGAGGTAGCTGAATTGATTCTCAATGCTTCACTTATTATCTGGGATGAGGCACCGATGGCTCATAAACACAACATAGAGGCCCTAGATAGGACATTGAGGGATATTTTCCGAGTTAAGCATGTTGATTCTGAGTTGAAGCCTTTTGGAGGTATGACTATTGTGTTTGGAGGTGATTTCCGACAGACGTTACCTATCATCACGAAGGGTACACGGACTGAAATTGTTAATTCTTCCATAAAGAGATCTTATTTGTGGCGGTCTATGACAATATTGAAGCTAACCGAGAACATGCGATTAAAATTGCCTCATTCTGAAGCATCGGTCAGGTTAGCAATCTCAAATTTTAGCAAATGGCTTTTGGAAATTGGTGATGGTACAAATAGTAATATTTTGGGACAATCAATTATCCCGATACCTCTACACATTTGTGTTCCCCGTCGCAGTGACCCAATTCCTGATATTGTTGCTGAAATATATGGTCAGTTACTCTCCATTGAAAATATGTCAACCTATTTGGTTGAGCGAGCTATCTTAGCCCCTCATAATGACACTATTGCGGCCATTAACAATTATGTATTGGGTCTATTTCCTGGTGAAGAAGTTTCTTATTTTAGTTCGGATTCGCTAGAGATTGATGCCAAGAATCAGCATGTTGAAGAAGGGGACTACACACTTGAATTCTTGAACTCTTTAAAGATTGGGAATTTTCCGGAACATGAGTTGAAATTGAAGTTGGGGTGCCCTGTTATTCTGCTTCGAAATCTAGATCAGAGTACTGGGCTTTGCAATGGAACTCGGATGATCGTTAAGAGATTAGGTAAATGGTTTATTGAGGTCCAAATTTTGACCGGGACACATGTTGGTGATACAGTTTTCTTACCACGCCTAAGTCTATCGGTCCACTACAAGAGCTTAAATTTCACTCTGGTTCGAAGGCAATATCCAATTGCACTGTCATATGCAATGACAATTAACAAGAGTCAAGGTCAAACATTAAATCACGTTGGCATCTGCTTGCAAAGACAAGTATTTTCTCATGGACAGTTGTATGTTGCTATGTCTCGAGTTACGTCGGAAAGGGGACTCAAGATTCTTAGCTGTGACTCTCAAGGTAAACCGGTGAAGACTATGCAGAACATTGTGTTCACTAAGATTTTTGAGTAGTGGTTTATTGATGTATTATGTTTTATTCGATTTGAGGACTAAGACTGTCAAATTTATCGGGTCGTTACAATTTGAATCTTGAGTTCTCAATTTGTCCAAATTATTTTCCTGTTTTTAACAGCCAATTATATGAAATGTGATTTATGCACACTACTTTATATTTAATTGTACCTCAATTTACTCTACCGAAGGGTATGCGAGTGTGACCGTTATATTGCAATACGAAGAAGAACTTCCATAGTCGCAACTGAACTAAACTAAATTAACTCCCAGACATACTTCATTTCCCGCCATTCAAAATAGAGGTGTGTTTTAGAATCTAAAGTTATTAACAAGCGTGGCTTACAAATGAGCTAGAAGCAATACATACTATTTTATAATTATAAAATTACCACTATGAATTCATGCCAGGAATAATTATTCATTAATGATGTGATTAACCAAACAAATTGTTTGTTTTAAAATAGCAAAGTTGAAAACGCTTTGACAACTATCAATTTATCCCGAAATTTAAATGAAAGTTCAACTTAAACAGAAATAAGAATAAAAAGGATAATGGTGAAAATTGTGGATGTTCAATTGTTCATAAAATAACGTGGACAACATACTTAATTTTATGGGATGTCACAACAACATATTAAAAAAAAAAAGAATGGCGGGAAACAGATGATGACGTGGACGGTTGAGGAGTGTGGAACAGGTTCAAGTAACAAACTAGATAAGGGCCCGACCCGATGGTCGGCTCATTTGATAAATTAAACAATGATTATAATTCTAGAATGCGTGACACATTTTCTAAGTATTAAAGAATTTGAATGATTTAATTACAGGAAAAGTTAAATAATATACATCATAATATTTCTATCATTCTCACCGATTCATTGTCCAAAATCCTTACTAAAAGACACATATGCAAAGAAACCGACATCTAAAAAACCAAACCACTCTTCAATTTTAGTCATCAATATCAAAAGTAATGCAAAATTTTTAGACTTCTCTAAGATTGCTTCACCGTCAATAACATCTGCCTATCCACTAATAATTGTGTTTTCATCCTCATAAACGACACCCCTATCTCTTCATCAAATATGCTCTTTTTTCTTATCAACAATGTCAAGGATGAGTTAGCTCGACTACCCTCTATAGTGTTGGAAAACTGGGACCCCCTATTAATCATAAATATTTTGGTTAAATTTGTGTTGCATTTAATAATCTTTGTGAATTAAAAGATCATATTAATTACATTTTTTTTGGTTACAAGGCTAAGTACGTACTACGCGACGAATTGACAGAAAAGGCGACTTGATTATGTTGGACTTGCATGTTATTTGTCGTAATACTCAACTAGATTAGATTTGTGATTAGTAAAATTTCATGTAAGTATTTTTATTGTGATTAGCTAATCTTCAAATGTATTTCTAACTTATTATGAATGTTCATTCATATTACATGTTCGTCTTCAACGAATTGCAAAATTGCAACAATCTTATGATAATATAAAACATGACTCATTTCTCGACACTATCATTATAGATATTGTAACTCCATTTCCTTAAACAAATGCGGCCAACAGGCCGGGCTATGGCTTAGTTATATTATTATTGTAAACTACCATCACTCTATGGATGTTCTAGTTGTTTATTTATAATATATAATCAAATTCTAGTTCCTACCGTCACTTAGGGTGTTGTTGACCCCAAACGACATTTCGAAATGTAGCTAAACACGTTCTTACATCAAACTCACCGATTCATCTTGATTGGTAGTGATGGTAAGTCTCTCATCAAGCTTAATCTCATACTAATAGGTTTGAGTCGACAACCATGTTCATGTTATCTATCGTTAACCACAGATAACATAACATGAACTGGAAAGATAGATCAAAGAACATGGTGATGAACCTCAGCAAAATTCTCCATGTCTTGGCCACCGTAGTGATAGGGTCGTGCAACAGAGGTAGATAATGCAACTTAAAACTTGCTTGACTTGCCATCATATACATATTACATATACAAGAGAGCAAAACCACAGGAGCTGGAAAAAATTACAAGAATTGGTGAAAGATAACAATAACAATGTCATTATTTACCATTTACTATAATTGAGATGCTAAATTAGACAACAAATCAGCTAATGATCTCATGCTATCAACACTCGGAGTCAATTATTATGATCAATCAGGAAGAAGATGGTATTCCTTATCATGCACGGATTGCCTTATAACATTGCAGACTGCAAAGTGGAAGCTTGGACTTGGAATCTCTGTACTTGTATGGATTGGGACAAGATGGTCCAGCACATTTCTCTCTTGCTGGAGGATAACTGGCATCAGCAAAATCGACCCACGAGAAAGAGAAACCAAAGTTAGCATCTTAAAACACCATACAGATCATACACAGGCAAAGATATATTCACGAACCAGAAGTGCATGCCGAAATGATCAATACAATATATCATAAGAAAACTCGAACATATCCGTGAAAACAGTCACTATGTCTTATCACTTCTGATATGCCAGTATTTCGGCTGATCATTGTCACCAAAATTTGGCTGTCAGTACCTGGAGGCTGGAGCACTCATTCAGGTCCAACACACGAATTCTGAGATGCAAACTTATGGTTCTGGTGAGGGTGGGTAGGGTTTCCAATGGGGCGAGCCTATTCGGCATGTTGAGTCAACCGAATTTATCACAGATTAACGGAATGAGACAGTGGCTACTTTATTAACAAATAAGTCAGCTTAGTAAGCTTCTACGTTAAGGTTCCAAGTTTCTTACTATTTAGGCATACTTTCACAGGTTAAAATGAGTTAGGTTCTCGCTAGTTCAACATACCTTTGAGGCTTGGGATCAAATATGCTGGGAAGACCGACCTCTTCAGGGAATGTTACTACTGTCCCAGAAGGACCCATTACCCATCTCACTCGGTCAGATGGGAGAACCATGGCATTTGCAGCTCTCTCCTGCAAACATAATTTTTCCAAGTTGTAAAGATTATTAGCATTGGTGAAAGTTCATTCAAATAAAACGGAGAGTGCTCATTCTGGCATATAAAAGATCAACACCTGGGCTATTTCTTCTTGCCGCTTCTTTACTTTCTCTTCACGCTTCTTCCTGCTCGAATCTTGGCCCAGAATCTTTCTGATTGCCTCAGCCTTTTGTGTTTTCCAATAAACAGGTTCAAGATCACAACAAACACAATTAGCAAAGGCTCAAGTGATTCACACAGAACAAAAGAGCATGCTTGGAATATGGTATGTGAGCATATACCTCAGACTCCCTAGCTGCCTTTTCCACCTGCATTCTACGCCTCTGAAGCGCCTCAGCTCTCTTTAGTTGTTGCTCCACTTCAGTGAGCTTCTCCTTTTGTTCTGGTAGCATACAAATCAAGAGAGTTGGTTATGAGTATGCATAATCAACTGAAAATTTACTCAAAAGATGTGAAGCCATGACTAACTTTTTGGAGGCGCTGGAGGCAGTCCATTAGGGAACTCAATCAAGCCAGCACCCACATCAGTAGATGCATCTTTGCCAGTTTGAAGAGCTCTCTGACGAGTGGTAACCGTAATTTCCTTCTTTGGTTCAACAACAGGTATGTCAGCCAACTCTTTCCTCAGTCTCTTCTTCTTAGTCATTGGCTCACCTTCTGAAGCCAATTCGTCATCATCCATATAATCAGTGTCTCCAGAGACCTTCCCTGACTTTGACTTCTTTGCCTCTTTGCCCGACCTCGATGAGCCTCGAGCATCAGCATCATGTACAACGTTGACGTTCGCTTTCATTACCTTTGATAATCTCCGCTTCTTCCTGCTTCCAGCTTCATCCTCATCTTCAAATTCCATACCATAACTGACCTTCTCAAGGTATCGAATCTCATCATCCTCCTCGCCCCCATCATCGAACATCCCATCTAATAGACGTCTCTTTGGGACACGTTTGCTCTTACGGACAGGCTCATAGCTGTTATCTGTCTGCTTTGGTGAGGGGCGATTTTCATCAGGTGTCTTAACCCTGACCGCATCGCCTTTGCCACCACTTGAGCCACTTTTAGGCAATTCCTTCCATACTCCTCGTGAGCCACTCCCCCTATCCGAAGTAATGGAACGGTTATGTTCAACTACACTGTCCTGCAGCAAGATTAAGAGATATATAAGAAAGAAGATGATTACAAGCAGTAATGAGTGTTTCCATAGCATTGTTCACATCATAAGGTCCATTCTGTGATACACTAACGATATGAACGAAGTCCAAAGAGGATGCTGGATTGACCGAAAAAGTAATGGAAATATATCTACATACCTTTGCAGGCTTCTGTTCTGAACCTGGGAAATGAGAAGATTTGGTGGAAGAAGGCCCAACAGCAGACGCACCATCCGATGCAGAATTAGCATTGATCGTCCGAGTAACACCCCCAAGCTTAAGCTTAACCTTTTTAACCTTGTTACCATTAGCGCCTCCTCCATCTGAAGCAGCTTCAAAGTTCCCACTAGCATTCTTCCAATTCACTGGCGCAAGTACCCCTTCACTGCACCTCCGGGAATCAGCCACACCGTGCCTCTGTTCATTACTACCGCGAAAAGAAGTTAAAGAGCCGTTGTTGGAAGCTTCATCTGACTCCACAAACCCTCCATCTTCAGCTTTCATCGCATTCTGCAGAAGGCAGCATATGTTTTCATTGTGATGAAGAAGCTCTAGACTTTAAATAAAGAACAAATAGTCCTCAAAATATCTACATGCTTACATTTTCTGAAGGTGGAGTGGACGATAAGGAAGACATGTCGTGGTAATCAGAAGGCAGCTGAGAGTCCGGCCGAGGGCGACGTGATGTACTGCTCCTCTTCTTCCTCACAGCACTACTGGCATCGCTGAATCCAAACCCCTCCATCGGGAGTGATACAGAGATCGAAGACGGAAGTTTACTGCATAAGCAAAGATATCAGATTGTTATGAACTTGAAACTGTCAGAACCAAAAATCCATGAACCAGCAAGAAATCCCGCTAATCCGGTAACCATAGGTGCAATTGTAGAACTATCCCGCATATACACTATCATCGAACCAAATCTGAACTTGGAGGAGCCGTTGAGGAAGGTAAAGTTAGCCCTATTAACAGCTAAAGGTGAACAATTCAATCACCACGGATTCAGTGGTAAATTGGCGGCAGAAACAGAAATTCAGAGGTAGATTCACCGCAAATCCAACAGATATCACACCTCTAAGACGAAAACCTAATGATCCAATAACAAAAACCTACGAAATTCGAATGAAGAATCGAGGACAGATCAAGGACAGTATATTTACCTTTCTGGGTCGGCCGGAACTAATGGAACCTTGAACGAACCTTAATATACCAAGCCGAGAGGAAATCAAACAACCAGCTGGAGACGAGTTGCTGGAGAAGGAAAGGCGGCGGGAGGAAGCCTGCGTCTGAGATGGAAGAAGAAGAGGAAGGAAGGAAGAAGTGGTGGAGACGAATCGTGGGAAGAAGAGAGGGAGGGAGCACGAGGACGATGGGAGGGAGGGGATGGAACAGAGAGCGTAATGCGGGCTGTGGGTTTGCAGGGAAGTAGTGTGGTGGGCCGGAGTGGTGGGCTGGGGACAGCGCGTAAGTGAGCTTGGGGAAAAGAGGGAGAGGGTTGGGTTGGGGGAGTGGCAGCCTGGCAGGTGTGGTGGTGATGGGCTGAAAGAGAGGTGGGCTCGGTGGTGGTGGAGAGGGAATGGGCTAGTGGAAGGCGCAGGAGTGGTGGCAGCCGGCAGGTGATATCATGGATAGAAATAGTGATGGCAATGGGGCGGGGCAGGGCGGTACCTCAATTCCCATGCCCCATTCCACGCTACTATGGAACCGGGTGAGTAGACCCACTCTTACATGTTATTCGAAAAAAATACAAGTAAATTTTACTTTTTATGATAAAACAAAGGGAAAAACACTTTAAGAATGAAAAATAGTGATAATAGAATGGATAATTGAGTCTAACAAGTTGAAAGAGCGACTGTAACCAGTTGAAGAAAAGTCAAAATAGGAGAAATATAGATAGAAATTGTAAGAAATTGAGATAAAATGAGGTTAAAACGGGGCGGGGCGGGTCAGGGTGGGTCGGAAGTACATACCCATGCCCCGCCCCATGCTACTACGGGTCGGGTAATACCCGCCCCATCGCAGGTCAGGGCGGATAATACCCGCGGGGCCGGTTGAAATTGCCATCACTAGAGAGAAAGTAAGAGTCTTTGTACGGAAAACTAGGGGTGGGCATACGGTTCGGTAAACCCGAACCAAACCGAATTTAAACCGAACCAAAACCGAATAACATTAATTCGGTTCGGAATTTGGAAGGGAAAAGGGTATATTTTGGAAACCAAGATCCTTTCGACCGAACCAAATTTTTGAATTCCGAACCGAATTTCCGAATTACTATAATAGCAAGCTCCAAATGGTGGATTTTTATGTTTGTACTTATTACGAGACTTAAATATTTGAATTATGTTAGTGTTTTATGACTTATGTGTTGAAATATTTGATTTTATCATTGATGATGCATTTAATTGCATATTTATTTTTTACATTAGGGGTAAAAATAATTTAAAAGAGAAAAAATACAAGCTAACCTCACAAGTTCGGTTTTCATACAAAACCGAACCGAACCAAATTATATTCGGTTTGAACCGACCGAACCGAATTATAATTCGGTTCGAATTCGGTTTGAGGTTTGATGGAACTCGGGAACCCGGTATGCATTATTTTGGTTCGGTTTGAACCGAACAGACCGAATGCCCACCCCTACGAGAAACAAGACTCGTCAAAGAGAACAGAGCGAGAAATGTGGAATTCTTGTGTCGAAGTATTGTAGCAATGGTAATCTTTGTGGATTGGGTTGTAGGTTGTAGCCAAGAAAGACATATGGAGTAGTCTGGACGTTGAGAGAAGAGAACGTCGAGCGGAATGCGAGAACGAAGAAGGGAGGTGGGAGGTGGGTTGACGATAATCTTTTATACATAATATTATGGAAATTCAAAATTAAATTTTTGCAACATAAGCACTTGGAGAGATCTCAAGTTGTCAAGGTGGACAATTTTTTTACCAAAAAATAGTTATTGACCTATTTATGTAGTTGTCCTCTCTCTTCATTTAATATATAATTCTCTTTTATCCAATAATTATTTTGATTTTGTTTTTGCATTATATCTATAAATAATATATGGAGAGAAAGGTTATCAAACCGGTTTAGCAAGTGGAATGGTTTTACCAGTGGTACAACTGGTTTGTGTCGTTTCATTCCGGTTAATAAAATATGTAGAAATATAAAAAATCATTAATATCAAATGAATATAATCATATATAAACCATATTTGAAGACAATTTCCGTACAATTTATATTGATATTTGAATAAAATATGATATTTCAAATGAAATTACATGTACTCATACTTTTTTTCTTCGTTGAATCAGTTTCCTCTTTTATTTACTTCCAAAAGAAGGCATGGTGATAAAACACCACTCCTGATACAACGAAGCAGAGACTCCCCAAAATGGCGATCTCTAAAAGTCCAAACAAAAAACTACCCAACCTGTCTCAACAAACTCAGACAATTCACAACTCTACCTCACAAACCCTCCAATCCAATACTACTATAATCGTTAACCAACGACGGGAAAGCTCCCACAGCATACCGCAGTTCACTCAACCATAAATCACCCACAACCTTAACATCACAAGGCAATTCTCCATGGCTTCTGCGGCATCTTTCCTGCCAGATAAAAGAAGTCGCAGAGCACCAAACAATACAAATCATATGCCCCCACGAATTGCTCCTAGCAGCCATGGCCACCGTTGTATCAACTCGTGTGCCCCAAGGTCCATGTTCCACCTGCAACCCCACTCTCTGCAGCAAGCACACTAAAAAGCTGCAATCAAAAAACAAATGCTCTCTTGTCTCACTACCATGGTCACATAAGACACAACTATCATCCTGCAAACGCCCCCACTTCAACAGTTTGCGCGTGTAACCATTGCGTCCTGCATAACAATCCACGGAGATAAAACTCCAGCGTGGTATGTGATTCTTCCCCCCCCCATAATAGTTTGGACCAGTTAACTTGGTTGTGAACAGGCCGCAGGGTTTTCCAGACCTCTCGAACTGAGTACAGTGGCATCCTTCTTCCTTGCCAAGTGCCCTCCCCGTTCTGCACACCCATTAAAGGCTGAAACTGTGGTCGAAGCTTCATAATTCTACGCCACGTCCAAGAACTAGAAGCTGTTACAGCCATAGTCCAAAAGTCTCTTCCCCTGCACCTGTATGCCAACATCCAAGCCACCCATAGGGCTCTTGAGCACATCATGAGGAGCTAGAGCATCCTAGCTGTGCATGCTCTGTTCCATGTAAACAAGTCACGTACGCCCAGTCCCCCCTCCCTCTTTGGTCGAGAAATCCTCTCCCACGCCACCTTTGCCCTTCCGGATTCCTCTCCATGCCACAAGAAATCAAAACAGATCTTTTGTAACTTGTGAATGAACTTTTTAGGGAACAAGAACAGTTGGAGCCAATATTGGATCACCCCCATTAACACAGAAGCAACTAACTGTATTATGCTTGCATAAGTCAGCTTCTTTGCACGCCACGATCTGATTTTCTTTGTTAGCTTCTCAAGCAACACCTCACAGTCTGAATCCCTCAGCTTACCAGAAAGCAAGGGAAGGCCGAGATACCTAACAGGCAAAGAACCCTCCTTGAAACCAGAAACTTCAAGAGCAGTTGCCTTATACTGCACAGATTCTCCGCCAAAATACACCTCACACTTCTCTGGATTGCACTTCAGCCCATAAAATTGATAGAACTCATTCAATAAGTCCTTGATCTTCAATAGGGATTGCCCTGAGCCTGTAGAGAAGATAAGTAAATCATCTGCAAAGCACAGATGATTGAGAGCAATCTTCTTACATAGAGGATGATAAGGCAAGTGATTCTGCATTGCTGCTGGATTTAACAAACCAGATAACCCTTCCATAGCAATACAGAATAAGTATGGGAACAAAGAACCCACACAGCCCACCATTCAAACTTATATACTAAAGTGAGTAGTAGATAGACAAATTCGGATCCACTTTATGTACAGGTCAGGGAAACCTATAATTCCCATAACCTTAAACAGATAATCCCAATGCACCGAGTCAAATGCTTTCATTAAGTCAACTTTCACTGCACACCTGGTAGAGAGCTTCTTATTACCATAACCACTGACCAATTCTTGTGCAATTAGAATGTTATCCATTATGCGTCTATGACTCGCTATGACACAACTCCTAACAAAGGCCAAGTGTAACCAATGAAAGGGACTGCAGTATAGTGGCTCAAGTAATAAATATCGAATCCACAGGTCTCTAGAGTTACTATTACTTAGCTTCAGTTCATTATCTAGCAAACCATATTAAGATGAAAGAACTAAAACTACTCTAGCAAACTACAGATAAAGTTAATCTAATTACAGGTTGGAAACTCACTTAGGTATGATTCCCCCTAGCCACTATCCAGATTAATGATTGATGATCTCTAGCCTGTTTCACTTTCATTCACAATGCGGAGAATCCTTAACTAGACCTTGAGTCTCGACTAAAGGAACAAGGCCCTTGACTCGCTAAAACACAAATCCTAACAATGGCCAAGTGTAACCAATGGAAGGGACTGCAGTATAGTGGCTCAAGTAATAAATATAGAATCCACGGGTCTCTAGAGTTACTATTACTCAGCTTCAGTTTATTATTTAGCAAACTAGATTAAGATGAAAGAACTCAAACTACTCTAGTAAACTACAGTTAAAGTTAATCTAATTACAGGTTGGGAACTCACTTAGGTATGATTCCCCCTAGCCACTAGCCAGACTAACGATTGATGATTTCTAACTTGTTTCACTTTCATTCATAATGCGGAGAATCCTTGACTAGACCTTGAGTCTCGACTAAAGGAACAAGGCCCTCTTGAGTCAATTGCCTAGAGGGACGTATCCTTCTCTAGAACAACCGATCAAGGCGTTCTGAACTAGATTCCCTCTATCGAATGAGGTTCTCAATCGATACAAAGCAGTGAATCAACCCTAGACTAGAGCAATCGATCCACTACTATCAATCTATGGTGCTCTATTGACCTAATAAGGTATTCGCTCTCATAGGATCAAAGCAGAATTAATAATCTCGACTAAAGCAGAATTGAATAATGAAAACATGCATAGATTGAATATGAACTCAAGATTATCAAGTCAGAGTACTCATACAATCATCCAATCAAACAAAAATAGCTAGGGTTCCTCAAAACCTAAGTGGAGGGAAGTTACTCCATAGAGCAGAGAGAGACTGCAGTAAGAATCTTCAGATGATCAGTCTTCAAGTCCGGGCTTGTTCCTCGAGCTTCCAAGGCAAAGAAATCCTCCAATTCCACTCCAAGAATGCCCTCAAATCACCCTCTCTCTCTTTGGTTCGTCCCTTGGGTGTTTGGGATCCAAAACCCAGCTCTCCCTCTCCTTTGGCTTCAATCTGCCTAAAAACCCG